TGCTAATTCAAGGTCTATGAAATTATAGATTAAAAATAGTGCAAGACCTTCGGGTCAACTTTACATAAATGCGTATTCGACCACTAACATCAAATTGTACCTGTATAGGGCTAACCATTGTATAAAGGATGATAAGCAGAACCATTTCGATGAAAGGTGACGTAAGTGATCTATGCATCATTTTTATATCTTCATACGAGATAAAACATTTAGGATACCCATCCCCATGTAATGGGTATGCGTATGGTTTATGCATAGTTTTGAAATGCAAAACAAACTTTCCCTTACGTTTACGTTCTTTTTTTCATTTGTTGTTCTTCATGCTTTCCTATGAGATGTTATGGTGCTTGCCTTCCATTAAAGTGCTGAAATGGGAAAAAGAAGAGGTAGCGCTGTACAACTGGAAGTTTTCTTTGAAGTGAGTCATAAGGCAAAAGTCTCACTCTTTTTTAACTCAGCGTTAAAAGCTAGGAGTTTATTCTTCTCTAGTCCGCAGAGGTCGTTTGGGTAAATTTAATTTAAATCAATTAAATATGGCCATATGAGCTCTCAAGGACAATACCTATCCAATTTTATGAAATCCCCACTAATTTAATACAGGTGTAAAACATTCTTAGCATCGCTCAAGAGCTTAGGATCTTTTGAATGCGTTCTTGCGTTTTCAGTCCTTCAAAGAGGTTCATATTGGAAGAATTGGCAATGAATAATTGCAGGATTACCCAAGAAAACATTACTGGCATACATAGATAAGTCAAAAAATGTTTCTTGAAAAGGGATTTGGTACAACAGCAACGTACTGAGCACGAGCATAGATTTACGATGTTGGTGATCTGCATATGATGGCTAAGTGTAATTTGCGAGCCTCTAGTCAAATTTGGAAATTTCCTTGAGGATCTTACGAGCTGTTGGTAAATTGTAAATGTATTCTAGAGCTCTTTTCGCTTCAGAACGTACGAAATTACTGCAAATAGAAACCATCTCAATGACCATACGATTGTGATAGCGTTTCTGGGGAGTTTGGGAATTTTGTGTTTTGTATTTTCTGCCTCTTGTTCATTGTGAAAGAGCGCCAATGGTAGTCTTCCAGTCTTTCAGAGTTAGGTCCAAAGAAATGTAAGGTTAATGTAGAATTATGATGAGCCTGTTGACGTTCTTCAGCTGTTCTCGTGAACACCAATTAAAAATTATAGCATCATTTTAGTTATAGTATTTGTTCAAACTTATAAGCACGTTAAGGGATATCAGCGTTAACGCCTGTTTACCATACCGTTAGCCACCTCCATTGAACTTCGACGTTTACATAGCATTGAAATTGCCCTAAATCCTATAGCTACACCGGGCAAAGTACTTTCTCAAAAAAAAAAAAATGCTTTTCTACCTGTATAAAAGTGTGGAAAGGGCAACTCACTATCAACCCTAAAAGATGGCACTTTTCATCCTATTTGCTATGATCAGCTCTCTAATGGTAGGTTTCTAACCCTAACCACAAAAAGAAGCGAACAGGACATATTTAAATGTTTGATAAGGGCTTTAGTTGATAAAATCTCTTATCCTCCAATTACAAGTAT